ATATTTTGTCTTTCCTCATTATTGAACCTGGTTAAATTATTTTAGTTTCTTAAGGGTCAAAGCAAATATCACTACATCTATGAGCCTTCTTCCTCTAACTGGATGAACTAATTGTTCCACCTCTTTGCTCCTGCCATACTCCATGCAAACCTTGTTGTGCAGCAGCACTTCTCACAGAGTATTATTCTTGTGTTTTGATTCTGTAGAGCATTATCCTAATGTGTACAAATAAATGCCCTTTTTATAATCAGGAATGTCACATCTTTGTAAACTCATGGCCCTCCCTGCCTGCCAGTGTTATAGGACCTCCACCTCCTTTGGACCTCCACCCCTTTTCCTGGGCAACACCATGTTACAGTACAACCGTAGTGTAGTGACTGCAGTAGATGAAATAAGTGAATGAATGACCACTGAATGCTCTGATCACAGAGTGGACAGAAAAGAACCCAATCCTGAGTAGTAATTCCTAAGTATTGTTGATAGATTGGCCTTAAAAATAGCTCCAGTGTTGAGTTTCTTCACTTTGCTGCAAATTCTGGAAGTCACAGCATTGTGAAGCTATCTGGCTGGCCAGGGAGTTACCCACATGGTGCAGCAGACCTCTCCTGTCTTGCCTGCTGCTCCCCTCAGCAGTGTATTTCAGTAGATCTGCCTGTTCTGTTCCCCAACTCTGTCTCTGGTGAATCCTCTCACTCCCCACACCTCTGGCCTGTGCCCCCGTTCTTGTATGCATAAATAAATAAATCTTAAAAGAAAATAGGAAAAAATGAGTTTAGGCCAGTGAGTCTACAGGTTTAATTCTGTTCCATGTTTTTCCTAATGATAGCATTTCTTGCCAAATACACATATCTTTGATTATAACTACCTATTCAGTTAATGCTACATTTAAAAAAAATATTTATTTATTTATTTATGCATACAAAAACTGGGGTACAGGCCAGAGGTGTGGGTAGTGAGAGGATTCACCAGAGACAGAGTAGGGAACAGAACAGGCAGACAGACTGAAATACACTGCTGAGGGGAACAGAGAGTGAGTCAGGAGAGGTCTGCTGTGCCATGTGGGTAGCTCCCTGGCTGGGGATGGAACTCGTGCTGCAGGGGCTGCAGATAACTTCATAGGTTGTGTCTTTACCCCTTGCACCACTAGGAAGTCCCATATTGAGTTAATGCTACATTTTAACCATTCCTAGGTTTTTTCCCCACCAAAATTACTTTGTCATGGTAACTGTTGGAGCTGGAAGCAATTTTGAAGGTGCTGGATCCAAACCATTACTTTAAAGATGGAGAAACTACCAGTGAAGAACAATAAGTAATGTTCCTAAGGTCGTATATCAGCATATATATGATAATGGAGTCACTTCAAGAACTTCCAGCCAACTTTCCTTTCTTTCAGGATAGGTTGTTTCAGGCAAATAAATTATAGGAGATAATTTTGTAACTAAAATTTTAAAATCAGATATGTTGATGATTTTTTATTAAAAGTCCAGGTCTACCTGGTATAAGCTGATACCATTACCAATTTACTTTATCTTTATGACCTTCTGTTTCCAGGTTATTTTTAAAATATTATTATAGAAATAATGCATGAAGAAAATTTAAAAAAATTAGTAAGAGGAAAATAAAATTATCTGTAGTTCTGCTACACAAACACAAATGTATTTACTTTCAACTGTTGTATTTAAACATTTTTGCATTGCTCTAAGCACAAATATTATCATAATATATATTTACTTATATAACCTAAGCAGTTGTTTGTGGTAATGTGGTGTACTTTATATTACTGTAAGGGCTAGGTATTATATTTAGATTTAGATATATCATTTACTGTTGTTATTTTAATAGGTAGAAGAAATTTGTTTATTTACATCCATAGTTTTTAAATATTTTTCTACTTGGATCCATTTATGTAGTTTCATGATGTTTTCTAATTTCAAATAACAAATTTCTATTGAGGGATAGGTTTTCTTCATAGAGATTCATATTATAAATCATTCATAAAAGGAGACCTATTACTACTTCCCTACCATCCCTAACATCTCTGTAGTCTGTTACATATATCTATATCTATTTTGTAACTAAATTTGCTACAAAACAGAGCCCTGAATATTTATTTTGCATTTATTGCCTATTAGTAAGTTAAACATTTTATGTCTCTCTTTACTTTGTATTGCACCAAATGTTAAAATTCCTTATCATGACCTACATGATTCTAAGGGATCCTCCCATACCTTTGCAACCTCTCTGACTGTATCTGTACCACCAATCCTTGCACACAACTGCTGGCTACCACTCTTTCTGTTCCTTGACCTTTTGGGCACCTTGGAGCCTCTGCATTTGTTCCTTCAGTCTCTAGATTCCTGCATGACTATCCCTTTGGTCACGCAGGTCTCACTTCAGATGGCATCTCCTTAAAGAGGTCCCCTTCATCATCCAGTTTAAAGTAGCAACCAGCCACAAGGGGTCATACTCCCCTGTTCTATTTTCTCAAGGAAATAATCACTTAAAAGCAGAGCTGAGTGATAAGGCATGTGAGCATGAGGGCCAGACGCTGTAGGCCAACTATACTTTTATTTAGCTGGGTGACTTGACCAAAGCACTTTGCCTTTCAATACCTCTGTTTTCAGGACAATAATAACACCTACTTCATGGAACTGTGAAGAATAAATAAGTTAATACATTCAGAGTGCTAACCTAACTGGTAAGTGCTCCAGGTGTTTTAGCTATAAATCATTTGTTTCTTTATTCCTTGTTTTTTTTTTTTAAAGATTTATTTATACATACAAGAACTGGGGTACAGGCCAGAAGTGTGGGGGCAGTGAGAGGATTCACCAGAGACAGAGTGGGGAATGGAATAGGCAGACTGACTGAAATACACTACTGAGGGGAGCAGTGGGTGTGACAGGAGAGGTCTGCTGTACCATGTGGGTAGCTCTCTGCTGGCCAGGGATCGAACTCGTGCTGCAGAGGCTGAGGATAGCTTCACAGTGCTGTGCTTAACCCCTTGCGCCACCAGGGAGGCCATTTCTTTATTCTTTGCATCTCACTTCCATACCTTCCTTACACCAACACTACCACCAAGCACATTAAATAAAAAATACCTGGCCCCAATCCACTATTTCCAAATGTGAGCCAGCCATACTTGTCAAATAAATGAGGTACTGAGTACAAATGATCAAATGATGAAGATCTATAGGCTTACTTCAAATTAGTCTCTCTCTTTTTTTTTTTTTTTTCAAAACACTCATCTACTGAAGAAGCACTGAGAATTATCATGGTTTCTTGTTCCTTTTTCTTTTCTCTCTTCAGCCTCCAGGAAGCTCCATTGCACTGGGAGACAGGAGAAGTAAATGTTGTTTCCATCATTTACAAACTAAGGGAAAAGGAGAAGCTGGCCCTCAATGAGCTTATGTAAAACTGAATTTATGACTCCTGACAAGGATGGAAGGATGGGTTTGTTGGTGTGGCCATTTTGTTGTTTGTTTTGTCATCAGTTCTAAGATCTATGATTTTAAGAAAACAAAGTCCAGAAATAAAACATTAAAGTAAAACTTTATTGTTTTATGGATTACCTATGAGCTTGTTATGTTAACCAATCTAGTAGCTTGGTTTATGGCTCTGGGGTTATTTCTAATCACCCACAAAGATTAGAAGCTAATATGTACTTATTCATATATATATACATAGATATATTTGGAAATACTATACCAGTAGTTACCAGGAAAGAGTAGCCACTACTACAAAGAGATACAAAACAATGATCTCAAACTTCAATGCTTGAACACCATTGAATTGTATTCTTCATATAAATGCTTTCCTCCAGCTTTGATCAGGAACCCAACCAACTTGCTCCTAATAATCTCCTCCCCAGTCCCAAATTTTTTATTATTTCACTTCTTTGGGTCAGATTGAATTTAAATTGCTATGTTAAGAGTGAAAAATTACATATATCAGGTGTTTTAAGGCCTCAGTTAATACATTTGCAATGGTTTGCTTATCACCTTTTTGAAACAATAATTCCAAAACTTTCCTTCTAGTATCTCTGGTTGTAGTTCTGTTGGTGAAGTTTTCTCCTATTATTATCCACATTCTCCACATCTACAACAGGAAATCTGGATACAATTGCTTTTTCTACTACATTTGACCCACTGAAAGTTTCTTTTTCAGGTGCTATTTCCTATTTATTTATTCATTTATATTAATATAGACTCCTAGATGCATATTAACTTCTACTCTTTATGGGTGATTAGAAATAATCTGAGAACTATAAACTAAGCTACTAGACTGTCTAACACAGCTTGCTTATGTTATTCAATGGTTTATAATCCATTGTTATCTATTATAAATTTATTTTATTGTATATTATATAACAGTATGAGTATTATTATATATTTGTTATTTATTACATATGTATTATTCATTTTAATACTAAAATTATTCCAGCTTTAGACATTGGTAGACTTCTAAGCAGCAGCCTGTGTCCTTCGGACCGGTCCCCATAATTCCTTATCTTCTATCTTGTACTTTACATATTCCAACCTTGGAGTCAGTCTTTTTGCAAGAAGATGTGACAGAGCTGCGGTTCCTTTTATTGCACAATGGGATTTGGAAACCATGAAGTATGAGCTGGAGGTATTACTGGCTTCTCATTCCCTGAGCTGTAAGATTTGTTATCTTCTTACACCACACAGCAGCTAGCATTTACGTCCCACTGTAAGTCTAACTTTAGAAGGCCATGGGTTTTCAATAGCTTCCACGCTATCTCCATTTTGAGTCAGAATGGCTCCAACACTGAAACTATTTCGGGGTTCCGTCTGAGAACCTTCAAGAGGGAGCCCACGGTCAGAGGCGTGCAATACAGACCTGTGTCCTCCAGAGTCCGCTGTGCTGCGCCGGGAGCAGCCCCAGCGCATTCTCAAACCTGAAGTGTCTACAACAATTTGCAAGGACATAGAAGAGGAGGCGCTTCGCGCGCCCACTTCCTCCCGACACCGCCTCTGATTGGCTCTTGGGCCCATAAGAAACCGGTGAATGAGCAGCTGGCCCTTGCTGAAACTTGCTGGAGGTCTTTGGCTTCGCCCTTTCCTCCTCGTCGATCCGCGGGCGAGCCAAGCTGGTGGAGGATGAGGTCGTCCTGTGTTCTGCTCACCGCCCTGGTGGCCCTGGTCGCCTATTACGTCTACATCCCCCTGCCCGGCTCCGTGTCGGATCCCTGGAAGCTGATGCTGCTGGACGCGACTTTCCGGAGCGCACAGCAAGTGGTGAGACGCAGCCCAGCGCTGATTCTCTTCTCCCTCTTCTTAAGCACTAGTTCAAGGGGAAAACAAAATTTCCGGACTGTTTCCCAAGAGAATGTATATTTTTCTAATGCAATGACGCGATCGCATTTTAAGGTGCCTCCATTTGACATTTTCAGGGTGTCGCATTCTTCTTGCTAACATAGGGCTAGATCTGCGTCTCCGGGTTTGTGCTGGTGACAGAGAAGGTGAACTACTTGGGTAGAATCTGACAACTGTTTAACCCATCGTCCATTCTAAATACCCCCCCCCCTTTCTTGGTTTGCAATGTCAAAAGAAAAATCTTTCTGCATTTTATAAACCACCCCTCCCCCAACCCCCATTTTCTTTCTCCTTCTGGGGGCCGGCAGAGAGTGAGTTAAATGTTTTAGGAAGGCGCTGGGAAAAACAGGCTCTCGTTCCGGGCAGTGCAGCCACCGTAAAAGCTTGGGCGTGCGCGGGCCATCTCCCAACGTCCTGTGACCCTCCACTCCCAGGGGCATAGGCTGGACGCCTCTAAACACTTGAGGAACCGCGCAGACCTCCCATTTCATGCCTGGCACTTGCAAGTTCAGTCCCAGAAAGGAGGCCAGCAGGCCTGGTTGGTTGGAGGAGAGGCAGGCGCCGTCATTTGCATGATGCGTTTGTTTTCTGCTTGCCCTGCAGCTTTTATTTTATGTCCTTGGCCACCAAAGAGATAACCTTTGCCTGAACCAGTATACCCTGGCAGGGTAACATTTCTCTCTACTGTATCTTGGCTGTGTATTTCTTTTCTCCCACACACAGAAAAATATAACTCTCTCTGGCTTATTCCATGGTGAGTAACATTGTTTTTAGTGCCAGGGAATCTAAAATCTAAACTACAGCCTGCAGCCTAGACTGAGCTTTATCACTGAACAGTATTTCTGAGAAGCCTGCTCTCCCTAGACTCTAGCCTTCCTCCAAAACCAACTTTCCTCTCTTCCTTCAACCTTGAATTTTAACTTGAGCTTGTTTTGTAAACTCCTCTTTTTGGTTGTTTTTCAAGAATGACTATAGGGAATGTAAAAAGATCATAAATTTTTCTGGAGGATTGTTCCTTTTCCTTATCCATTTTGATTGTGTGTAGAATTACATGGTCTTTTTGTCCTATCAGTATTCCTAGTAGAGATTTACTATTCCTGAGTCCAGCTACATTTTCTACCTTCAAGTTCCCTGCTGTCTCTCAGGAAGGGTCTATGAAGCTGGACACCCCCAGCCCCCTTGCTTTCTAATATTGACATGGTAGAAGAATGGACACCCCCTTCTCTAGTATGGATTCCAAGAAAGGCAGTCTTCATGTGGGAAGTATGGTAATCCCTCTCTTTCTCCAGATATTATGTAATTTGGGATTAACACTCTTCAGACACCCTGGGGTACAATGGTATATGCCTGGATGGTTAAATGGCCTGCTACAATAAGAAGAATAATGACTAACAAAAAAAAAAAAAATGACTAACATAGAAGGCTTATAAAAAGAAAATCAAAACAAAATATCAAACTGTTATGTTGGCCACAAAGATAATTCCTAGTTTTCAGGTCACCACAGGAGACTTCCCCATCACAAATTATTTGAGGAAAAAAAGCTTATCTTTCCTAATTAGCTTGCCAACCCAAAGGCTTTTTTTTTTTTTTTTTTTTTAAGATTTTTTTATTTATTTTTGTGTAGAAGAACTGGGGTGTAGGCCAGAGGTGTAGGGGGTGAGAGGATTCACCAGAGACAGAGTGGGGAGCAGAACAGTTGAATTTACTGAAAGACACTGCTAAGGGAGATAGCAGGAGACACAAGAGAGGTCTGCTGCACCAAATTGGGTCAACTCCCTGGCCAGGGATCGAACTCAGGCCATAGAGGTGATAGCACTGAGACCTAACCCCTAGGCCACCAGGGAGGCCTACCAACCCAAAGACTTTGGATCCTGTGATCCTCCACTGGATGTGCCCTCTGTTTGCTTTGGGGATTGCTAAAGTAAGGACAGGTTACAGAGATAGATGAAATAACAAAGTATCCTCACCCAGTACTGTGGCTTGAGAGTGGGTTTGCACAGATGTGGCCCTCATCATTTGTCTTCTGAAGTGGGCAGTATCAGAAGGATCATTCATACCACATGGAAGCATCTTCTACCCACAAAGGCAACTTAACAGTGTCACTTTGCATTGTCCTGAGGAAAAGACAGTGTGGCTTAATATTGTAATATTGTAAGTAAATAAGAGCATAACTGTTCAATTCATGTCCCAGTGAATCCCATCCCAGCCAACCTCACTGGTTGTGAGGCTAGGTCGTTAGTCCTAACCTCTGATCCTCGGTTTTCCCTCTAATGTAGACTAATAGTTACTCTGATCCTCAGTTTTCCCTCTAATTTGACTAATAGTTACATTGTAAGGTTGCTGTGTGTGTTTAAATGCCTGGAATTTGTTATAGTTATTTTTTAAGAGTTGTCTCAAATGTCCTCTATGGATTGTGGGGAAAATACTTGTGATTGCTTTAACTTTGTTGAGACAATATAACAAAGTCTCAGGCATTAGTATTTAAAAAAAAAAACCCAGCAAAAGTTGAGAAAAACACTATTTTATAAGTTAACTATAATGCATTGTAAATATAGATTTTATATTTTCCTTAAACTGCTCAAATTTTACCATACATGTTGCTGGGAATGAGTCCCTTTACATTATCATTGTTTAGTTTATCAGATTAGTTGGTTGAATACTTGGCTCTAATAGTCTAAGGGGATAAAATACTAACTAGGGAAATTTGGTGGTATAACAAAGCCATCATAAGACTTGAGCAGTGGAAAAGTACAAACAAAAGTGGTTCTGGGAAGGGCAGTGGAGATAGAATGATAGATAGAAAGTTGGACAACGGAAAGTTAAAGAACAAAAGAAGGGAATTTGGGGAGTTTCTAAATACTGATTTCAAAATGCAATGCAAGCAAAAATATTAAAGAATAAGATTCCCTGTTAAGGTAAACATATTGAGAAGTATACACTGCTGGAAAAAATGTAAATTATCAGAACATTTTCAAAGGATACTTTAGCAATATGCATCAGAAACCACATGCAAGTTTATTTTTTGACCCAGCAATCCTTCTGGATGAATAAGTAATTATGGATAAAGGTAAAACTGTAGTTATAAAGATGAAAACACATTACAGGATCAAAAATCTTATTTAATTCAAAGGCATCCCCATTTCTAAGAAATATGGAAAAACATTCAGCAACCTCTATTAGAGATTGTAGAGATCTGTAAAAGGGTAAGTAAAATGTGGTAAACCCATATTTAGAAACACCGGGCAGTCAAAGATGTAGATTGTAAAATCATGCTTAATGACCTAAGGGAAAAAAAAAGATTTGTACTGTATATTAGGTGGGAAAATGCTATAAAACAACACATAAACCATTATCCCATTTAAAAATCTATACATCAAAACATACAACTGTACATATCTATATACCTATACACATATAGAAAAAGCAGAACAATATAATTTAAAATATAGAAATTTCTTTCAAGGCCATAAGAATACATCTTCAACTTTATTTCTACATCTTCAATTTTTATATCACAGTTTTTCTACAAAGAACATGTAATAATAAATTATTTTTTAAAACTATTGTTTATAGTTAAGTTTTTGTAGTAAGTTTTTTTACTGTAAAGATGAATTGATGTGCATACACTATCAATGCGATTAATATTTTAGTAATTGTTCTATGGGAAAAAAGACTACGAAAAATGGCATCCTGGATCCCTCGACAGAGTTATCACAGTGGCAAAATAACACAGGTTGAAAGCCTACTATGTAAGGTTGTGAAAAGGTTCTCAAGTGATTTAAAAGAATCTACAGGCTGGGGCCTTCCTGGTGGCAAGGGGTTAAAGTCAGTGCTATCAAGTTATCAGCAGCCACTAGCCAGAGAGTTAACCCACATGCACAGCAGACCTCTCCTGTCCTGCCCTCTGTTCCCCTCAGCAGTGTATTTCAGTAGATCTGTCTGTTAGGCTCCCCACTGTCTCTGTTGATCCTGTCAAACCGCCCCCCCACCACCACACACACACACCTCTTGTCTACACCCCAGTTGTTGGATGCATAAATAAAAATAAACCTTTCAAAAAAAAATCTACAGCCTTGCAGAATAGAGAAGTCATGTTAATATCAGCTATGAAAAAAGTAGGAGCTGACAGGAATTGTAGAAAAGGTATAATTCAGAATTTTATAGAAAGGAGAAGTTATGTACCATTTATGGGAGTGAAAAAGATAGTGACTATAGGTAATAATTGCATCTCAGCAGAATTCAGAGCAAGAGCTTAGCTTGTTTTACCTTGATCATTTAATTTACTTGTTCTTAAACTATGTATCCTCTTGATGAGATTATGTAAAAGAGAGGTGGAAATTGGTGCTTCTGCTGAATGATTGTCCTATATTTTATGGATGTCAGTGCTTTTGGACTAGTTAAGCAAGATTTTTCAGCCTGTACAAGCTAAAGTGACCTCACCTGAATTTTCTGTGCATAATGTGCAGGATGTGTGGGCATGGTTCAAATGATAGCCCAACTGAACACCACCCAGAACTCCAACTAGCTAACCTTTTTCATAACCATTCATGAAATGGAATGTTTAATATTGTTAGGTAAGTTAAACTTTAAAACATCAGTATGAAAAGCAAGTTTAATCTACTGCCTTACAGGCTTGATGTGGTACATATTTTGTCATGTAACTTACAGATTTCACCGATCATAGCAATTTTAGCTGATTTCGACAGGATTCTTTTTAACTACCTGGCTGCAGAAATTTCAAATTTAAGAAAAGCCTCTGGGGCAACATTTAATCAGCATTAATTCTGATAGGTGAATAATCTGACTAGGTACCTGTTGACAGCAGTGCTTGGTGGATTCAGTCAAACATAAGGCCAGAATGATTTCCCTATCAGGCGTGTAAGACAATACTTATTTTATAGTTTTGCTGTTTTCCCATAGAA